TCATATTTAGGTAACTTTATGGCAGAACATTCAGTTGAGATTTCTCAATCTGAGCACTGAACTCCTTGTCTTATGTAGGCTGCCTATACCTGGTGACAGGAACCATTTTTCTGATAAGCCTCACCACAACAGCTCTGGTTTGAGTATAGAACTAAAATTTCCCTTTCTAACTTGGTCAGTAAGTGGACATGAATGAGAAAGAATGCTAATCAGCCATCTGAATACAGTAACTTATTTTCCACCATTATTATCACCAATGGAGTCATGTTGTGGCTATTGACACAAATCACAAAATCATTCTAATTAGTTTCCTTCCCCAGAAATCTAGAAGAAGTGACAACTTTTATTTCATTATTGACAACTTAAAACTTTGGGAGTGGAAAAAAACCTTGCTGCTAAAATAGAGTCCTGTTTTAAAACAAAAGCTGAGATCAGACAACCCTATTCATCGTGGCAACTAATTTTGGAAAAATGCTTATTCTGTCAGGAAAAGCAGTGGTGCTTCCCCACTTATGGGAGGTGTAGGGGGTTTGGGGGCATGTAAGTGCTGTTTTTCTGTAGCAAGTCCTGGCCCTCTGGAGTAGCTTCCCACTGGAAGTTATATTAGTCCAAATTTGGATGTCTTCCAAAAGCAGTTGGAGCTATTCCTGAGAGCGTTGGAGACTTGATGCCCCTTTATGGTTTGTTGGTTCAGTTTTCTCACCTGTTATTGGAGAAATGAAGCTGAATGGGGGAGAACACATTAGTAAGACAACTCCCTGAGAGCATCACGCTACGCCCATGGGTACTAGTGTTCTAGCAGATACTGCCATGAGGGTTTACTAGACTCTCCAACCTACCAAACTTTGCTTTCTTTAAGATGCTTGAAAAATAACTAAATGGCCCTATGTCATACCGCAGAATCAAGGACCAACCTGTAGCATCACCTTTATTTGCAGATGCTTCTGGGCCCCAGAAATGTAGGAATAAAGTTGGATACTAAAGAGCATGGTCTGTGTGAGTATATGGTGAGACTCCACCTCTCCATTCTACCCACTGTTAATGACTCTTTTCTGCCTACAGTAGCCCCATCCACTGTGAGGCTCTTTCGTGAAGACACTCCAACAAGCTGTCCAAATTCCAAAGGTGCCAATTGCTTATGTTCTGCCTCAGTGAATTCCAGTAGCTCTCAAGACTCTTTTTCTTTCCTGTTGAACACAGTTCTTTGAATTCCTACCAAACTCTGCTCAGCTAAAGTGCTACTTAATTTTCCTTAGGTAAGTAACTATGGATAAATTGAGCATGGACTGGACTGATTCTTCAGTTGGTTCCACGTATTTGTAGAAAAATATTTGCTTGCTCCGTAGATAGGACTATTTCTACTTCTAATACTACTTCTTATCCGTAGATAAGAATACTATTGCAGTATTCTTATACTATATTGCAGAATCTTGCTCTGAGTTGCCAGAACTACAAAATGTAAGAAGGAATTGTAGGCTCATAGATGCCACTCTGGTGTGATTTAAAATTAATCATGTCATGCTAAAAAGATGTCTTTGAAACATATAAAAGTTGTCCCTTTTTTACTCATTTTGTTATTGTCTAGAAATACTTCAGACTCAATTATTGTTTTATGACTAGGTGTCTTGGAGCTAACCCATCATGAAATTTCCCTTGGCCTGACATACAGTCCCCACTCCCTCTGCCCCCCCCCAACCAGAAGGGCCACAGGGTGCAGAGGTTGATCTATCTGTGAACAACCCAGGAAGGCAGCACTAAGCAGCACTCAACCTTGTCATGATGTGAGCGATAACGTCATGTAAGACTATAAGATATTTTTCTTTGGTTTAGTGTGTTTTATAAGCTACTTTATAAGTAGACTCTTGTCCATGATTGGAATATTTTTCTGAAATATTCTTAATAGCCATGCAAAGTCAGAGACTATCATATGTGGCAAGACATTTATTTTGAAATGTTATTTTAGTGGATAAATAACTCCACTAATCATCAACCCAGTTCATTTCTCCCAGATGAAGAATGTCAATCTCCACTATAGGCAATGATCTTGAAACAAACAAACAAACAAACAAACAAAAACTTAGCCGAAACTTTTAAAAATTCTTCTAAGACTCTAACTCAGCAACTAGAGTCACAAAACTTGATTATTTTTTGTCCATTATCCCTGTTTTATATGTCAGTAGCAGCAGTGTTGTTTTGTGGCAGTACAGTACTTTCAAGTATAATCATGGAGGTTGAGTGTTATTTAAAGTAGGGACTTTCTGATCAATCTCTAGCTTCTTAATCATTTACCTAATAATCATTTGTTAATTCAGCCTAATCCATGTACAAGTTCTTTGTGAGGAAGTGTCAGCCTTACAAGGTAGACCAGACAGGAAACATGACCAGATGAGCTAATTACACTTTATTGTAAGGTTACATTGACAAAAATGTAAATGTAAACCTAAAAATTGCAAGTCTGAAGGTACGTCTCTCCCCCCACATCACCTTTTCAGCCCCAAAACTAGGGAGGGTCTCTTCTGAGCCTCTTGTCCTGCCCACATTCCTGCTGCAAGTTGCCTTTGATCTGACTGTTCCCTTGGCTGTGTCCCATTGTCCTGTCTCTCAAGGCCTTTCCCACATACCATCACAGCAAGGGTTCTTTGTATAGGTCTGGCAATTTGTGCTGTAGTATGTCACATTGCAAAATGAAGTGGATTTATTATTAAGCAACGGTGATTACTGATCCCACTTGAAGAACTGTTTCATGTGAACAAATTGTTAGGTGGAAAAAAAGAGCATCCAGCCGTGCTTTTATGGAGCTACTGTTCTGCAAATAGCACACGTGAATTCACACATTCAAACTTTCATGACAAGGTCTTCATAGCAATGTTTGCAACAATTCAACCGATAGTTTTAATACTTCTCTGGTTGACATATGTTATGGCTAACCAAGAATTGATATTCGTCCAAACTCTCACAGAAGTCTACCTGCTAGACTGGAGTGGGTTTCAAACATTATGTGGCATCTAGGCAGAGGTCATTAATGGCTCACATAATCTATGGCAATGGGAAGGGGTGAACCACTTCCACTAGAACAAACCATCAGAGCAGACAGGAAACCTGAAGAAGATATTTGAAATATCCTAAAGCAGATACTTTTTCCATACACATAAGTATTCCTGATTATTCCATATTATGACTTGTGTGGAGAAAGAAAAGGTACGGTTCGTTCTAAGTTTCATTTACTGTAATGAAATATGCTTAACTGTTCTACTGAAATTTTATTGCATTAAATTATTTTTCATCAACTCCCTGAAGTCTTTTCTAGATTTCATATGGGAATAATCCACAGTTTGTAACACATAGTGCTTTGGAAGCCTCTGCCACATTTCTCAATGCCCAGCTAAAGACACCACGTTAGTACCAGCTGCAGCAACCTGGAGCAAGCTTGCTTAAGAAATGGGTAAGACAAAACCGTCCCTTCCCCATGATCCTCTTGACAAGGAGCAGCAGGGGAACACAGCAACCTGAAATAAGATTGTGCATGGGATTATAGATTTCTTAGAACCCTTCTAGCCTCTTAATTACTCTTAGCTGGATTGTGCCCACAATGTGGAAACTTATTTTTCTGCAGTGACTCTTACGACCAAAATAGCACTCTCCCACTCATTATCCCGATTGAAGGAGCAGGGAGCTACTATAACAAAAGACCTTTAACATAACATATAATTGATAGCAAATACCCAGTGTCATTAAATCTAAAAGATTTCTTTAGATAGATATCAAGGTCAGAAATGTTAGGGCCATGTTGGCAGCATCACTAAGAATTCACTAAGACTTTGGGATGGAAATCTGGGAAAACTGTGATTAAAGAACCCTTGAATGAGAATCATGGTTAGGCAAAAATGGGCCCATACTTGAACTAAATAGAATTATTGGGCCCACTTGGGACACAGAGTCCAATCTTCAATTTTGGGCAGGAATCCATATGAAAGCATGCATGACAGATGGCTGCCCATTTTGTTTGAACACTCCAATGAAGGGGAATTTGTTTTGCTATAAATTAATCCCTTATTGCTGCTCTGGCATAACAGAGAATAGTTTCTCTTTCCTTGTGTGACATCCATTCAGATATTTGAAGAGCAGTCTCACATCATCCCTGAGTCTTCTCAAGACTAAACATTCTAATTCCTTCAATCTCTCTTCACAGGACTTAATATCTAGTCCTCTGATCATCCTCATTGGCCATTTCTGAACATGTTCCATGCTGTCTGAATTCTTCCAAAAGCCTAGTGCCTAGAACTTAACACAGTACCTATGGTGGGATCTGACCAATAAAAATAAAATGGAACAACTCTCTTTCATGATTTAAAAATGATACTTCTGTTTACAATGTGTAGCCTAACATTACATTTGCCTTTTTTAAAACCACATCACATTGCTGACACTTACTCAGTTTGCTATCAATCACTATTCCAACATATTTTTCAGAAGTACTATTACCAGGCCAGGCATACCTTGTTGCACATGGTACATTTTGGTTGCTTTAGTGAATAACTTTGTCTTGTTACATTTCAGTCAGCCAAAGAGTTCAAGTGGTGTCTATGTTGTGTTTCTCTGATGCAAGAAACAAGAGCTCTGACATATCTTTAAAAAGGAATATTTGGACTGACATATTCCTTTGAGTTATCTCATAGCTCTGGACTCTATATAGTCCAAAAACTCAATTATTTTGTTCAGAAAAGTATATAACAAAAACATGGCTTAAATGGAAACCCCAGAACTGGATACCAATAAAGTAAAATTGTTAACTACATTTCCTTTTCATATCCTGTTTTTTTTTGGCTTGTATGATATCCATTAACTACTATGGCAGATCACCAACTACTTGCAGAAATTACAATTAATGTTATAAGGAGTTTGAAAAAAAAATCTTCCTAAAACCTGATTGGTCTAGCATTTGATACTGTGTGTACATAATCAACCAAGTGATTATATCAATGAGCATTGTTTGGTCTTACCTTAAATTCCTCCAAGATTTTGTAACTTTTCCCATGGTATTCACAAAAGTTCTTCACTTCTTTGCATTCTGGACAGCATCCATTGTGTTCTACTTTAGTACACTTTGGGTGGATTTTGGGGCATTCTGGTTGGTCACAAACAGGCCCATCCTCAGTACAAACACATGGACAGTTGGAATGCCCAGGGAAAAAACGCTCCCCTAGTTTGTATACAAAACCACTGTCATCCACACATCCTTTCCCTCGATAGTCATCAAAAATCAGATTATTATCATTACTTGAAATCTGATCACCTTCATCAGCAGGGTAATCTTCATGGTTGAAAGCAGCTGGGGTGACCAAAGAAGGAATTAGCAAGAGAAATATGTAGGCTTCATGAATATGAAGAGCCATCCCCCTCCTGAGCTTCTGAATATGGTGCTAATATCAGATATGTATGGATGCTTCCATGGAGAGGCCAATGTGATGCTCTGAAAACAAATATTAAAAAAAAAATTGAAACACATTTTTTAAAAATGCATTTTCCCCTACTCTTTTGTGACACATCCATCTGCCAGGCTTTAGCTGATTAGAAATCCTGTCTTCTATCAACTCCTAAGAGAGCAAGTAAACTTAATCCATATTTCAGTCCTGTCTGTAATGGTAACAAACTGGAAAGCGTGCACATAACCTGGATAATCTTCAAGTTGCACAGGCTCTTGTCTTTTGCCAGGAGCTGTTGATTCATCTTCACTTGGATGGCATGTGCCTTGTGCATTTTGATATTATAGTTCAAAAATGAAATGGAACAATATTCTCACCAAATGAAAGCAACAGTGCAAAGAATTTCCTTGCCATATTTTTGAATCAAGCATTTCTTCAAATTATACATTGTTGTAACTAGAAAAGTATAAGAAAATGTTATTCACATATGATTGGTCATTGTGCCTGTTAAGATGAACTGATGCATCTTGACATTAGTCAGGCTATTATCTACTTAACATATTGAATATTTATATTGTAAACAATTGCAAATCAAATCTAGTTTAAATTTGGATGGCTTGCACATTGATTACTTACAGATATAGTTCTTTAGTTTTTTTTTTTTTTTGCTAGATTGCTATAAGCAAGTCTTTCAAAGATGGGTCTAAGACCAAAGACATTGCTTCCAATCCAGTTCAGCTGTCCAACAACATTCAAAATATAATTAGGTCATATCTTTTCATGAAAAATAAGAGGTTAAAAGAAACACCATCCTGAAATTACATTTGATTTAAATACTAATAAGTTTAATCATTTAAGGTAGCAGAATTTTACATTGTATATTGTAATCAGTTCTTAGAACTGGTTCATGCTGGCTTTTTCTTAGCAAGACCTCCATTGTGCCCTCCAGGAGATTGACGTCACATGAAGATCAAGTAGTAGTTGCCCCTGCATGTCTGTGTTCATCCTTTAATTTTTTAGTTGATTTTTCTCCTTCTTTTACATTTTCCTTCTTCTTTTTTAGGTTTGGGGAATGAAATTTCGATAAATTATTATAAATATGATACCTTACCAATATGCAATTCAACTTTAATAGGTACACAGAATTTCTCAACAGGCCATGTTACTTCAGTTTATTTTACAGCCATATGCGCATGGAGAACCCCATAATTCACACCATATGTTTAATTTGAAATTGAAGGAAAGCCTTGCTCTTCTGTTAGACATTATTTCTATTCTGCTGCTTTCCTATTGACTATAGTCAATAGTGTACCACTCCACATTGGAGCGTACAGGCTTACTCTTGCATCACTTCTCTAACCAAAGAATTGATGAATGACATGATAGGATTCCATCTCTTTTATGAATTTTGACAGAAAAATAAGTTATAATAAAATAATTTCTAACAAAAATTATAATAAAATGCTCTAGTGTCAGGTGATATTTTGATTAATTGTATATGAAGCATGCAACTACAATTTAAGCAATATCCTTGCCTATTTTGCTTGTCTAATACTATGGGACCAAATGTGTTAGTGGTTAATATTATACCACTATGGAGATTCCAATAGCAATAGAATATGTAATTCTCAGACAGGCAAATGCAAAGTATATATATGCATTATTTACATATTTATATCAATTTATTATTTCACTGCCCAAAGAAATGACTCAGAGAAAAAGGCATCCTTTGTATTTTACAGAACTACTAAAATAATTTGGTTGACAAAGCAGGCTCTTAAAATGCTTCTATAAAGAAAGATTGGGTGTTTCAAAAGCCTGCTGTCTCATTACTTATGTTCTAGGTTATGATTTTACTACAATGGTAAATTTTACTGCAATTATGAGAGTCTTTGTTACAATCATGGTACTTTATTTCTGGGTGATACAAAATTGTTTAGCTTGTCTTTCAGACCTGAATAGACAGTCATTTGCATTCTACAGGTAGGTTTCAGTCTGCCAGGCTTAAAGCTGAGGAAACTTAAAAAAAAATTCTAGCAAAATCAAAAGAAGCTATTTATTATAGGGACAGCAGAAATCAATCAATTTAGTCAGGCATCTGAATAAAAGCAAAACACATTTCAGAAAGAGGTACAATATTTCACTGCAGTAGCTGATCATCCTAAATATTTTGCTTCTGATTTATAAATCTTTATTTTGATAGAGATAAAATGGAATGATGATGAAGCCCCTTGGTTAAAAATCAAACAAGCAAACATTTAGATCTACAATTTAGATTTATTTTGTTTCTAATAGAAGATATTAAGGTACTATCAAATGCTTGGGAAGCCAACATCCCTTTCTTTTGAAAAATGTGCACTTACCTACTCAGAGTGAATGGTAGGAAGAGTCACAAACCACAATGGATTCGTACTTCAGTAATGTAGTAGAAAAAAAACTCTTCTTAATTATATTGGTAAGGAAGAATCATGAAAAATCCTTTTCCTAAAGCCTCCCATATCACAGAAGAAACCCAGCAGATACCCAAGAGATATAAGCTTTAACCCTATGTTCAGAATTCAAAGCAATCAGTCATAAAAGGGTCCAAAGATGAGACTGCTTGATACAAAATCAGAGCCCAAAACAAAACAGTAAAAACAAAAAATAAAAGAATCATTGTTCCAGGTATCTTTTAAAAAAATCTCCTTACTTCCTTGGTTGCAGTCTTCAGGTCAACCAAAAAATAACATTAAAAAAATCCCACCAATTCACTATTTTCTGTATATCAGCAAAAAGGCACACAAGGGTGGAGAATATGCTATGCTTCCAATTCCAGAAACAGCAACAGCATGCTAGAGCTCAGAGCCAATCCAGACTGAAATGCAGTCAGCAGCACCATCATGCTATGCTGCTTTCTAGAGGCTCTTCCCCAAATAAGCAGTGGGGTTCATGTGGCTCTTAATCACAATAACAACTTTCAGCAAGATTCAGTATCCTGGATAGCAGCAGCACAGCAGCTGTTCCTCCGGAGGGCATTCCATCAAGCAGTTGGAAACCTTCAGCACCACGGACAGCAGCCTGTGACTCTCATTTTGCATCATGCAGGCAGAACGTGCCGCTCCTCTGAGCAACACCCCCCGCAACCCCAATCCGATGCATCTGCTCACTGGAATTAGATTTATCCTTAGACACTTTCCTTAAAAGGTTGTTTTTTTTTTTTAAATGCCTCATAAATATTATCTACATCTGATGAGCCCATTCAGTTAAAAAAAAAAATCTGCTGATTTTCAAGGCACTAGGATCAGACTGCAGGACTACGTTACAGGAAGTGGAAGTAGGTAGACTAAAGCTCTGCATTTACTGAATGATTTGGCAAAGGTAACAGTCAAGGCATCGGTCTGATTCTTGCCTTGCTATCATGCAGAATTCTTTTTTCAGAAAAGTACCACATTCAGTACATATGAGTCTCTTGTGTGTTTGTGTATGCATGCATATTTTTTTATGTGATATGGAGAAATATTGAGCTCCCTCCCCCCCCCAAAAAAACTCTTTTCAGAAGCTGTAACAAGTTAAATATTTTATTATTTTCACAAAAGGAGACATTCAGTTGTAGCTTTTGCTATAATAACTTGAAAAGGGGTGGGGGTAGGGGTTCTCTGCAGTTCATGTTTTCTGTCATTAGATGTCAATATAAAGCTATTTCTCCAGGGAAATGGCAAATGATATATATTTTAATGCATATTTAAAACCATAAAGAAAGATACAAGAAAAAGAAAGTTTGGATTTCCCCCCCATTTTAAGTAAAATATGTAGAGTTCATATCTCGCTTTATTTCATGTTTATTTCAGATGGCATAAGCCACCTCCAGTTCTATGAGATTTCTCAAAATAGTGGTCTCAATTCCAAATACGAACAGTACCATCAGAGCCCCCTGAAATTAGATGTTCTGCCTTGTGATCAAATATTACACTCTGAACTTCATCTTCATGGCCCAGTAAGCTGGAAAGATGCCCCGATTTGAGTTCCAAAGTCTTAACGGTGCCATCATTGCTTGCAACAGCTACAATACGACCTGTAATATAAAGTAAAGAGGTTTAGAAGATGGAAAAGCAACTCTGTCAGCATAGTGCTTGAGATACTGTAAATGATTTGCTTAATTTGTAACTTTCTGTATACAATGATGAACTCATATAATCCTGTGCTTTTTTAAAAAAGGCAAGTCAAACCAGTATTAAAATACGATCACTCTTCATAAACAATGAACCTGTGAATTTCATTTTGCCATTCAAATAAAGAACTAGGAGCAGATTTATTCATCTTGAATGCTCACATTCAGTGCTAGGGAAGCAAAAGTGAACTGCTCTTTGATGAAAACATTTAGATGCATTACAATCAAGTTTATGCCAGGTTTGGTTCCCTAAGTAGCTTTGAAGTTCTCTGTCAAAAGGGGGACTGGGGAGGGAAGTCTGTTAGTAAAGTACCTTGCTGACGTTTTGAGTGATGTTGATAACATCTGCCTTGGTATTTTACTTGACCATCTCTGTGAGTGAGTGAGTGACTAGTGATGTCGTGGTTCTCCATTTCTCTGCAAAGTTAGTTTCAGACAGTAATAATGAGGGCCTTCTGCTCAATTGCATGAGTTTTGAGATATGAGTTCTGAAAGATTCCATCTGAACCCCCATGTCCCTTTAACAGTTAAATGAAAGCACTAAATAAAGTCATCCTTGTATTTGAAATAAGTATAACCAGTATGCTGATTATATTTATCTCTATTTCTTCATATCATCCAAATCAGAATGTGCTGAACCACTGAATGTAGATGCTGAACTATTTTTTGGAGCTGAAACAGGATGGATGAAGGCCAAGAAAGTGAAGCTAAACTTGGACAAGATGGAGGCACTCTAGGTAAATAGTTCTACTTCAACACATCCAGGGGAATCCATCACCACCATAATCCATTTACTCTTCCTCTTAGGAAATTCTTTCTAACAATCAATCAGAATCTGCTTTTCTGTAACCTGTCCTGCACTCAGGAGTAATAAAGAACAGGATTTGGCTGTCTTCCATGCATCATTCTTTCGGATACTTGAAGAATACTATCATATTATCTCTTCTTAATACTATGTATTCCCAATTCCTTCAACCTCTCTTCATATAACTTAGTTTCTAGTCCCCTGATTATTCTTGTTATCCTTCTTTAAACCTTGTCTGAACCCTTCTTCAAATGTGATGCTCAGAACTTGACACAATTCTTGAATTGAAGCCTGGCCACAGTGGAATCAAACAGAATCACACTCCTATGAATTACGAATTATACTCTGTTGATGCAGCCTACAGTTGCATTTGTCTTATTTACTGACACATCACACTGACTCATATCCATAGTCATATTTCCAAGCAATGACTTCCATGGTCTGCTTCACAAGTATTTTGCCAAGCCAGGTATCCCACATTCTATGCCTGTGTATCTGATTTATATTCCAGTGGCACAATTTTGCATTTGTCTACTAAATCCATCCCATTATTCTCAGCCCATTTCGCTAAACCTACAATGCAGTTTTGAATTTTATTTCTATCTTCTAGGGAATTAGGTATCAATTTTTGTGCAAATTGGATAATCATTCCCTCCACCTTCTCATTCAAGTGAACAAGGAAGCCCAAGATTGAGGTTTGTGATACTCCATTCAGTACCATTACTGATTTTTGAGTAAGACATATATCCACTTAATTGTCATGGTATTCAGCTGTTCATACAGAGCTTGCTTGCTAATCAGAATGTTATGAAAGCCATTTTGTAGCAGAACTGTAACTTTGGAATGATGTGCTGATAGCTGATGCCAATTCCATATTCTCTTCAGTGCCAAATTAAAAAGGTCCTGTTTGTTCAGACACTTTACAAAATATTAATGTCTGGATTAAATTTCATTTAAAATCAATATTGGGTTGTTTGTTTTGTAGGAAAGCCTTTTTGGTTTAGTTTTGTTGTTACTGTTGTTGTTATTGGCTCTTGGTATTTAGAATGTTACTTAAAAATAATATGTACATCATCTGGTAACACAGATTATGATCTTACTAGAACTAATAAATGAAATCATACATGCATAGATATTTCTAGTAACCTGCAAGGACTGGAAAGACACAGGCTATTATTTTTCTCAGGAATCATCACAGTGAACAAGAAGCTATTATAAGAACTTAATTTGGACACAGTGGTTCATCACTGGGAATGGAGTGAGACAAGGATGCATATTGTTCCTGAAGCTGTTTAACTTAGATAGTGGCAATACTGGAAGAATTGACAGCTGGAATCAAAATCAGAAGTCAAAACACAGACAATTTGAGATACACAGATGACATGATTTTATTAGCCAAGAACAAAGAAGACTTAGAAGAGCTCATTCTGAAAGTAAATATGGAAACTCTGCATTTAATGTTAAAAAGTAAAAGTAATGCTAATCTATATGTTTAGTGAGTTTACAACAGATGGCAAATGAACTAATAAAAATAGGCAATGTACAGGAGTAGTAAAGAGATTAATCCTAGGGTGGAAGGCAATTTAAAATGTAGGTAACTTCATAAGAATAAGGATATTTCAATTGCAACAAATATCAGAATAGTTAAAGCAATGATCTTTCATATGGCTATGAAAGCAGGATTCTGAGAAAGCAAGAAAAAAAAAGTTAGATGCCTTTGAATTATAAATTTGAAGGCAATTAGTAAGAATAGCAGGAAAAATCAACCCATCAGTCCTGTCTGCTCCCTTGATCAGTAAACATAAATTCACATACTTAGGCATATGATTTGAGTGAATATTGGACTAGAAAAATGATTATTAAGCTTGAAGAAAGTAGAAGGGGAAGGTAACAGAGCAGAAGGACCAAAATAATGAAAGAGATTACAAGAATATCCTTGGAAGAGCTATTAGGATTATTGCTGGAGAATCTGTCTATGATGGATTTTACCTGGATGAATTTACTAAACAGATGATGAGTTGCAGTTAACTGCAGTGTAAGGTTTTTTTTTGTTCCCATTGAAACCAATGAACTTTTATTCATATGTAACTTGTGTATTGACTTCAGCTAATGCCACTGAGATCCTGTTTAGTGTCTTCTCTATTTTAATATTTTTATCCTAGGGATTTATTCTATTTTCTCCTAATTTGTATTACAAAAACTGAAAAAGAAGGTAGAAGAGTTACATTTTTCAGCAACACAATGCTAAAATCCAGTTGCAATTTTTGCAGTTGGAAAAAATAATTAATCAAGTAAACTGAATAATGACGACAACAGAGAAAGCATACAGAATAAGGAAAGGACAAAGACATTTAATTTAGATTTTAATTTTTGCAGGAACTTAAGTACTTTTAGAAGTACTTTTAGTTACATGTTACAAATACTGTTAGAACAAATCTGCAAATCTTAGGTGAAGAATACGGATATTTGTAAAAGAGAAGCCTGATAAATATTGCTTCATTGAGACCTTTTTATAACACTTGGGTTGCTTTGCCTAGAATGTCTGACTCAGGCAAAATCTCTGTAATTATCAAGGTGTCCAAATAGCAGATGTGAATGTTAGCTTCTCTTTGTTGACAGAAATATTATAAGATAGGGCTGTGTGGTGCTTTGTATTCAAAGGGTTTTGCCTTTGTAGAGTGTGTAGACTCTGTGTAGAGGTATGAAAATTTCCCCCCAGGATTGTGCAGCAACCATGTGATCTCAGGAAAAGGCACAGCTGTTTTAATGAACTGCAGACAGGTGTTGCTACATTCACAAACTGTGTGCTCCATAGCATGTTTGGGACTTCAAATACAAACCACTATACAGTGAAACGCAAAGATTTAACTTGCATATAGATTCTAAGCAGTTGAAGAGACTGCAAGAAATATTTGCTAATTGTATAATATTTGGTAGAGGTATTCTCCAGATTTTCAACCAATGAAATGGGTTTTCTGATATTTACTCTTTGCAGTAGGTTTTTGGATAAATGCATCTTGTGAAAATATGGTGAATTAAGTTTTTATTTTTGAGATGTTGTACTAGTAGATTTAATTAAACATATACCACATTCAAGAGGATTAGAAATAAGCTATGATCTGAACATAAAAATGCACACTTAAATTTAATTATTCCACTGAAATGAAAAACTGGAAAATTATGACAGAAATTCTGTCAGAAATATTAAATGTACAATTACCATTAAATCCATTCATTTGTCTGCATACATCTGAGCATGCAGTACTCAGACAATCTAAAATTAAAATTAAAGCAGTTTGTTCCTGCAAAGATGTCTCTGCCAGAAAGCCTAAATGATTATATCAAAGCTGAAATGGTTAAATAAGTATGGGAGAAATGCTTCTTCTAAAAACAAAAAACCAGTTTAATTAATATCTGAAGTTAAATCTCTGTCATTAAGAGAAGTTTGAGAGGTGCTAAGAGATTAGGAACTGAACCATGAGCAAAGGATTTTGCTGCCTCTCTTGGTATGTCCACACAAATAGGGAACCATTCATTCTTACTGTATATGAATTTGTTCGCTAAGCTACAATGTTTTGCATCTGTCAATTGAATAACATAAATAAATTCTTTGCTCAGTAACAGAAAAGTAAATAGGTGAGGAAGAGAAGGGAAATGAAAAGCCTCAGAATGGGAACTTTCATCACCCTTTACATCAACACTGGTCTACTTGCTCTTCATAATTTGTTATAATGTAAATTCCCTCCATCCTTTCCTACAGAAAGAGATTTCCTTGTTGAGGGGAGTGGGAACAAAATGGGATTGTACTGTTGTCTTAAAATCTTTTCAAAATTATCAGCCCTGCCTCCCATGATTTTTGAAATAATAATGTAAGCTATATTTACTAATGGTCCATTTCCATGTTCCTAAAAATAATACATTTATGAAATGTATAAAGGACATAATCTATGTTCAGAGGAATGAACCATTACCATGCAAACTGTCATAATTCTGGTTTTACCTGTCTTCCAATTAGTGTTCACTTTGATTCTGTCTTGTTTTGTGAAATCTTCTGTAGAATAAGGAATATATTTCAACTCTTTTATGGTCTACATACAGA